ATATCCACACAAAATTACTGTTAAATTTGGACCAAGTAATTCGAAAATAACTTTAAAATATAACATTATTTTTATTTTCCAAATATATTATATATTAGTGAGTAATTGGTTTTCTGATAAACAGTATATATATACCAATTTTACTTGTTGTGAAAAGAGCAAACGATTTTTTAAATTTATGTCTTATTTTGTGGTCACGACGAATTTTTACGTTTATAACTTGTAATTTTTCAATTGTACTATACAAAATGACTTCACTTGGTTTTACTTTTCACGTGGCCACTATTATATTGTGGACTCCACACTGACTAACTCAATTATTTACTTATTTTTATAGAACTAAAGTTTTTAAGTTTTTTTTCTTAAAGAAAATTATTTTATTGATTTCGAGAATGACTTGTCGAAACGGCAGGATCTCAGCATGTCTTATCACTTACATTAAAGACCAAATTTTACATTTATTACACTGTCGGTAAAGCAAATAAATCGACAAAATTTACAATTTACAAAACAAAGAAAATGTGAAAAAGCAGGAAAACAAAATTAAAAAACGACAGATCATCGTCACACCACTGTGGCAAAAATCAAAAGTTTTAATGGAACAAAAGGATATACCTTTTCTTTTAAATTTATTCAAAAATATCTACTAAATACTAAAAAAACTCAATTATCTCGATAGTTCTTAAACCTCTTTATAGTCCTTTATATAGTGCCATCTTCCACATTACCTCTCTACACACTTAACACTTGTTACTAGCTACCAACTCTCTCTCTGAAATTTTCCTTTCTTTCTTCTCTAAAAAATGAAGCTCTCTATGTGTTTGATCTCAACCGTTCTCCTCATGTTGATGATAATCGTCGCCACAGGTTCACTACTCTTAACCTAATGTCTAACTTTGCACATAGGCATGCAAATATGTACTCGTTTACACACTTAACTTTGTCATTTGGTTATAATTTCATATTTTTTGCAAAAAATATGAAATGGTTTTGTCAGCTACTTCGACTGTTTTGATTAGCAAAAATATTCGGTTTTTTTCCATAGATCTCGATGATTATTATGTGAACGTGATTAAAAAAGAACTAAATGGATCATTTATCTTAATATGAAACCAAGCCATTGTCTAAACCAAGTCCTTTTTGTGTTACTTATCTCTAGGGATGGGTCCAGTCACAGTTGAAGCACGTACTTGTGAGTCACAGAGCCATAGGTTCAAGGGTACATGCGTGAGCGGAACCAACTGCGCAAACGTGTGCCACAACGAAGGCTTTGGAGGAGGTAGATGCCGTGGATTCCGTCGTCGTTGCTACTGCACCAGACATTGCTGATCCATCAAGATCGATTCTCATAACTCAAATCTTCGATCCATTGTCTTGTGTTTGCTTTTTTACTGTCTTAAATCTTCCGTACAGTACCATGTTGTACCGTACTTGTGTGTGTGGTCTCGAATAAGTCTTTGGTTTGTGTGTTTCTTGTTTTAATGTAATGTTAAATCAACTAATGAGCGTCTACAAAGCTAATAACGTTTATAGACGATTTTTATGAAACTAATAAACTCTGAAAGTAGTAGTAGATCGAGTAACAGATTTTGGACGACCGATTAGAAAGAAGTATACAATAGTTATAAAATGTTTATATTATTATTATGTTGACAGATCTTGGTACTATCAATTTAGATTGGTTATAATTAGATAATGCTTCGTTAAATATCAGCCAAGTAAATATATTACTGGTTAAAGCAACGTAAAGTAACAGATGGAGCGTTAACTACTACACGTGTCTTTGGTGTTGTACTAGCATCTACACATGTATACTTGTTGTCTTGTAGTACTTGTGATGTAAAATCTATTAAATAACAAACAAGATATTTTATACAAGAAAATTTCATCATTTTGGTGATAAGTTAAAAGAAAATTGCAATTCAATGTAAAAAAAAAAAACACACACACATGAGCACACAAACAAGTTCACATAATTGGTCAATGTGTCTACTGAAATTTCATAGAGATAAGGGAAACACACACAAATGAAAAATTCGAGAACAAATTTCTCAACAACTTATAGCAAAATTTGTAAGTATATACGTTACACGTCTAGCTTATAGGATTTAACCGACCTTAAGATAAATTTTTAGTATTTCTCAAAAAAAAAAAAAAAGGATAAATTTTTAGTTCGATACCAACGTTTTTCTACAATGCTCATAATTTCTTTTTTGAAATTACACGACACAAAAATTTCTACAAAACTTTTGAGGATGCACCGTAAACCTTTAACCCGAAAGTTCATTTAACTCTCAAGAACGTTTCTCTTTCGCTCCATGTTTCAATGTCTAAAACATTGTAGAATCTCTCCTTTTATAATGCAAAACTCGAGATATTTTCCAATTCGTAACATGGAGATTTTTGTTTTTCTTCAAGCATGTTCAGATGTTGTTCTTTCTTTTATATATGATTCCTTTTTTACATGGAGATTTTTTTTGCTAAAACCAGAAAATTTTACCAACAATTTTTAGTTTGACTGGTAAAATATTTAGATAAAATTTTAAAGTCATTGGTTCGAATGATATTTGAAAAAGACCATATAAAATGTTTTGTTCCCGACATGAACGGACCTAAATTGAAAACTTAGTATTC